GCATCCTTTTTTTTCCTTTTTCTTTTTTTCTTATATTTTTTCTTCCCCTCTTCCATATATCTCAGTAGATGTTAAGAAGTTTCACTGATCTTGGTTAAGTCTTTTTCTTAGAAAGCAGTGTTAGTTGTGGATGTAGGCAGAAGGCATATCTTTATTTTCCTCTGTTTCACAGAAGAGAGAATTTTTTTTAGCTCCTTTTCTCTCCAAACACTTCATGTGACTGACCCATGGTCTCTGATGAAAGGTAGTGTGTATCCCTGAAGCATGAAGGTGTTTTAGAGACAGCTGTAGCTTCTGCAGCAGAAGAGGAAGACAGGGCAGACCTGCTCCTACAGAAGGCCCTGGGTTAAACTTCAGAGCCTTTGGTGAAGCTGTCAGCAAAAGCCTGTGAGCAGACAAAACAAGGAGAAAGAAAAATTAAGCCATAAACCCCCTTGTGTGCAATGTGATCTGAAACATCTGAGATCTTTTGGTGTAATTTAATGAAACATCAACAAGACTGCTGCTTACTAACTGACAGTGCTGGTACTTTGTTCTGATGGCACTCGCAGTGGCATTGGCTAATAGCTTCTTTCAATAGCAACATGATTTATTAAAAGATTAATTCACTGAGAAAAGATTTGTTCTTCTAGAAGCACATTGATAAGTGAAGAAATCTGCATGAGAGTTCCCCGCTGCTTACTACACTGTTACAAAGTGATGGATCCTTCACTGCTTGCAGATGCTTAAAGAGTAGTGTTTCTGCACAGGCACACTGGGCTTCCAGCTGTACTTAATATAAATGGCTGTTAGTAATGCTGTAGGCACTTTTTATTTTTTTAAAATATATATTTCATGATGCTGCTTTTTACACATCCATTTTTAGGAAGAGATGTAGGCATTTATTTTGTAGTGGGGTATTTATACTAAATCAGACCGGTCACTCTTCTCTTCTGATTTTCTCATAATTTTATGGCCACAAGGAGGCTATTAATAGGCTACCTTTTATTTTTATGAGTTTCAAATCAAGCTTTAGCTAAAAGCTGACTTCTGTCACCATGGTTCATTATGAGTGAGTCTGTTTTTTGGTTAAAGGAAGGTCAAAAATACCATTTCTCCTGATGACTTTATGCTTTCTTTTTGCTGCCATTTCTTTTTTTCTGTTTGTGATCCCCAAGTCCACGTGCTGGATCATGGTACAGATTAATTGCCACCTCTTGTGCTGACAATTGCAGTAAATTCCTGCATTAACTCCATAGGTTTTTTTGAGGAGCAGCAGGAGACTCATGTTAGCATTGTCTGTTGAACCCTTTCACTAGTTTGGCTAGGGAATTGCAAAACCAGTCTAATTTTATAACAGTTAAGTAATTAAAAGGTTAAAACCTACTGCTTTCCAACTGGTAGAGTTACTGTAATTCTTTTCAGTGGGGAGGCTTAGAGTCTCTTTACAGCATGAACTCACACGAATTCAAGTGGTGAACTGTGAAGATTAATCCTCTCTACAGTATTACATAATTTCTTAGTGTTTGTTTCAAAGCCCTTCTGTACAAAAAACATAAACTTGAGAGGATGGATGTATCAATCCAGATCCAAAATTCAGCCTCTTCTCAGGTCCCAGCTTTTGCCCTGGATGTTGCCAGTGGTGAGCATGTCAAGTGCAGGTTAAAGTTATTGAATCATGGGCTCAACAGAAAAATCCTCAAATTTGCTGAAAACTGCTGTTTAATAACAACAGATAATAAAAAACTAGAATAATAGGAATTATAGAGGCACTAATATTCTCTTACCTAACCTTGTGGAAAAAGCACTGTAAAATAAATGCCCCATTTCTAAACTGGAGCCTTGCAATCTAAGCAGGTAACTCACCAGCATAATCCCCTCTTTCTCCATGTAATATCTGTTAAAAAATACATGAATAAACATGAGGCTGTGACCAGCACCTCGCTCAGAATTGGGAGACCGCCCACTCTGCAAGACCCCAGACCTTCCCTTTCTAGGGACTGCCACTGCCAGACACCAGAGTAAGGCTCATGAAAATACCTTGCACTAAGATATTTTTTGTTTATATTGTTATCACTTGACATTTGAAACTAAAAATGTGGAAAATTTTCTTTGTAAGTGTAGTGGTCTGTTTTGGTATAGCTGTATTTTTGTACAAGAAATGCCATGTTATCTTTGAAGCTTCTTTTTAAAAGAATAAAATAATGGACCCTGGTGACCCAAAAATAGCAGGACTCACTCTGATTCGTTCTCCACCCTCTAACATCATCACCAAAACCAGAACTGAAGATTTAACACCTATAGACACTCATGAGCAACCTCTACATGGAGAAACTTCAGCAGCAACATGTAGTGGAGGCAGCTAAAAGAAACAATGTGTGCTCATAGTGGGTGACTCACTGTCAAAGGACAGTGAGGCAGCCATCTGCCGACCTGACAGGGAGTCTCAAGAGGTGTGCTGCCTGCCAGGAGCTAGGATTTGAGACATTGCCAAGAGGGTGCCACAACTTGTCAAGAGCATCGACTACTACCAACTGTTACTCTTCCATGTGGTCATGGATGACACTGTGAGCCAGAACCTGGGCAGAATCAAGGAAGACTATAAAGCCCTGAGGGTGCAAGTGAAAAACATTGGTGCCCAGCTTATCTTTTCCTCCAACTTACCAGTGTGAGGAAAGGGGGCAGCCAGAAATAGATGAATAATGAATATTAGCACCTGGGTACGTGGCTGGTGCCATCACGAGGGTTTTGGGGTTTATGACAATGGGACATTTTTTGATGACTATAACCTGCTAGGGAGGGATGGAATACACCTGTCTCAAAGAAGCAAGGGAGTTTTTGGCAGCAGGCTGGCCAACTTGGTGAGGTGGGCTTTAAGCTGAAGGACTTAGGTGGCAGGGTCCAAGATGGCAATGCTGGTGCCATTTCATCCAACCAGGGGATAAGTCAGGCCAAAAAACAGCAGCAACAAATGTTCCTTAGCTGCCTTCCAAGATGAGAAGCAGAAGGCCAGCCACCTCAAGGGCGTGTATGACTATGCTGGATCTTCTTTCACTGCTCCAGGGAAACCTTCTTGCTTAAGTTTTTAAAATGCCTATACACCAATGCACACAATCATGGAGAATAAAAAAGAACTATAGATCTGGGTGCAGCCACAGGCCATGATCTCACTGCAAGTGCAGAGACATGGTGGGATGGCTCACATGACTGGAATGCTGTCATGGATTGCTACAAAGTTTTTAGGACACAGACCAGGAAGCTGTGATGGTAGAGTTGGTCCTTATGTGAGACAGAAACTGGGATGTATCAAGCTCTGCCTTGGGGGCATGAAGAACATGTGGAAAGCCTATGGGTAAGAATTAAGGGGCAGGCTGTTATGAGTGATACTGTTGTGAGTGTTTAGCACAGGCCACCTCATCAGGAAGAGGAAGTCGATGAGGCCTTCTACAGACAGCTGGAAGTAGCCATGATCACATGCACTGGTGCTCATGGTGAACTTCAACCACCCTGATATTTGCTGGAAAGGCAGCACGGCTAGGCATACAGTCCAGGAGTTTCCTGCAATGCATTGATGTTAACTTTGTGACACAGATGGTGGAGGAGCCAATGAGGGGAGACATGCTGCTGGACTTTGTACTAATGAACAAAGAAGGTCCAATTGAGGGTGTAAAGGTTGGAGGAAGCCTTGGCTGCAGTGACCATGAGATGGTGGAGTTCAGGATCATGCAAAGAAGAAACAGGGCAATAAGTAGGATTGCAACCCTGAACATCAGGAGAGCTAACTGTGACCTCTTCAAATATCTGCCTGGAGGAATACCATGGGTTAAGGGTCTAGAAGGTAGAAGGGCCGAAGAGAGATGGTTAATGTTCAAGTATCACTTCTGACAAGCTCAAGATTGGTGCATCCCTATGAGTAAAACATAAGTAAAGGAGGCAAGACACCTGCATGGATGAACAAGGAGCTTGTGGAAAAGCTCAGATGGAAGATGGATGTTTACAGTATGTGGCCACTTGGGATGAATACAGGAATGTTGCCAGACTATTCAGTGATGTAGCAAAGAAGGCTAATGCCCTCTTGGAATTAAATCTGGCAAATAATTGAAAAGACAGCAAGAAGGGCTCTAAGTACATCAGAAACAAAAGAAAGACTAAGGAAAATGTAGAGCTGCTGCTGAATGATGTGGGTGCCCTGGTGATGGAGGATACAGAGAAGATGGAGTTACTGAATGCTGCCTTTGCTTCACTCTTTACTGCTAAGACTGACCCTCAGCACTCCCAGTCCCTTGAGGTGAAAGAAAATGTGCAGGAAAGAAGACTTTCCATTGGTCAGTTAGGATTGGGTTAGTGATCATTCAGGCAAACTGGACACCTACAAATCCATGGGTCCTGATGGGATCCGCCCACCCCTCCAAGTGCTTAGGAGCTGGCTGATGTTATTGCTAAGCTACTTTCCATTATTTTTGAAATATCATGGGGAAGAAGAGAGGTGCCTGGGGACTGGAGGAAAACAAATGTCCCTTCAATCTTCAAAAAGGGTAAGAAGGAGGACCTAAGAAATTACAGGCCAATCAGCCTCACCTCCATTCCTGGAAAGGTGATGGAACAGCTCATTCTGGATATTTCACATTCTCTAAACATGTGGAGGAAGAGAAAGTTATCAGGAGTAGTCAGCACGGATTCACCAAAGGGAAATCACGTTTAACTAATCTGATAGCCTTCTATGATGGTGTGACTAGCTGCATAGACGAGGTGAAAGTAGTGGATATTGTCTACCTCAACTTCAGCAAGGCTTTTGACACTGTCTCCCATAACATCCTCATAGGTAAGCTTGGGAAGCATGGATTAGATGAGTGGACAGTGAGGTGGATTGAGAACTGACTGAACAGCAGAGCTCAGAGCACTGTGATCAGCAGTGCAGGGTCTAGTTGGAGGCCTGGAGGCCTGGAGCTAGTGGTGTTCCTCAGGGGTCAGTACTGAGTCCAGTCTTGTTCAGCATCTTCATCAATGACCTGGATGAAGGGATGGAGTGTACCCTCAGCAAGCTTACTGGTAACACAAAACCGGGAGGAGTGGCTCACACACCAGAAGTCTGCGCTGACATTCAGTGGGACCTGGACAGGTTGCAGAGTTGGGTGGAGGGGAATCTGTTGAAATTTGACAAGGGTAGGTGTATGGTCCATGCACCAGTACAGATTAGGGGTTGACCTGCTGTACAGCAGCTCCACAGAGATGGACCTGGCAGTCCTGGTGGACAGCAAATTCACCATGAGCCAGCACTGTGCTCTTGTGACCAAGGCAAATGGTGTCCTGGGATGCATTCAGAAAAGTGTGACTAGCAGGTTGAGGAAGATTTTCCTTCCTTTCTACTCTGCCCTAGTGAGGCCACATCTGGAGTGCTGTGTCCAGTTCTGGGTTCTCCAATTCAAGGGAGAGGGTGAAGTACTGGAGAAAGTCCAATGGAGTGCTACAAAGATGAGGGGACTGGAGCATCTCTGTTATGGGGAAAGGCTGAGAGACCTGGGTCTGTTTAGCCTGGAAAAGAGGAGGCTGAGAGTGGTTTGTGTCAATGCTCATGAGTATCTAAAGGGTGGGTGTCAGGAGGATGGAGTCAGATTCTTTTCAGTGGTGCCCAGTGACAGGGCAAAGAGCACAAATTAGAATACAGGAAGTTCCACCTAAACATAACGAAAAACTTGTTTACTTTGAGGGTTACAGAGTACTGGAACACGCTGCCCAGAGAGGTTGTGGAGTCTCCTTCTCTGTACAATTTCAGAATCCACCTGGACATGCTCCTGTGCAACCTGATCTAGGTGAACTTGCTTTAGTAGGGGGCTGGACTAGATGATCTCCAGAGGTCTCTTCCGAACTCTGCCATCCTTTAATTCTGTGATTCATGGTTCTGTTTGGATTGATGTGGGCTACAACTTCTCCTGATGTCAAAATACCAGGCACAATTTCAAAAAGATTAGGTAGTTTATAAGGAGAAACAGAGAATTAAAAAAACATGTACAAATACATGGTGTTTGATATATATATGTGTATTTATGTAAATATATATGCACACATCTATACACATATGTGAGAGATCATCCTGGCTTAAGAAAGCGTTTTCCTTTTTTTTCTCATTGGACAAAAGTATATCCCTTAGTCAACTGAAAAATCAATCATATTTACTGCTCTGATTACATCTACATGTTGGATTAGATGTTCTGAAAATCAAAAGGAATAAGGACTATGAATTGTAAACACAGTTTTAACAATAGATTTCAAAAATACATTAGTCAAGGGAAAGGAAACTATTTAAATTGGGATTGCTCAACTCAAAGCAAGGAAAATATAGCAGAATTCAACTGAAGAATGTAAAAACTAGATTGCTTAGGAAGGCTTGAGCATGACTATTTGTGAAGCGATACATACAAAGATGTTGAAGAAATAGTAACTTGCTTTGGGTTTTCTTGGGGGGTTTTGTTGTTGTTATTTCCCACTTTAAATATAGATACTGGATATTTATTTATATAAACAGACCATTTTGATTAGTACTTTCCCAGGAGTTAGTGGACAAATGATGAATGTCTTGTACTATTATGACTGTGACAGATCATTGGAGGTAGAGAAAAAGTAAGTTGCAGACTGATAATATTTCCGAATCTGCCCTGAAGCTTTTTGAATCAGAGTGCATTTCATTGACTTAACTGAGTTTTCAGATAATCCTGTGTATTTTGATAATTGTTATAAATGTAACCTGGTAACCTTGTATTACATCAAGAAAGCATTTATCTCCTTAAATGCAGTTTTCTTTTCTAATCTGGATGGAGATAGGAAAAGGAAATTAGAGCAGGCAAAAAGTAATACATAAGGATAATGTATGTCACGTGGCTTTAACAGGTGTTACTTAGCTTCCCTGCTTTTACTCAAACCCCAAATTTAACTAGAGGATTTTGAAACTAAGTTTCATGAATTAGAAAAGATAGTGGAGTTTTAAGAGGCAGGAAACCTGAGTAAACAAAGCTGAAATGCAGATGTACTGGAGCTCACAAATTAGTTTGCGTAAAATGTGCACTGCAGAATGTACTAGCTGTTGCATACACAAAATGTGAAGAACGCTAAGGTTTAAAAAGACATGCACTCAAACTAGGATCTGCCACAACAGAGGCGGTCTGTCTCCACATAGTAATAAATGGAGACTTTGAGATGGTGAGTTAAGCCTCTCTTCTTAACAGTGGCAGTTTGCAGAAGAGGCAAGGATAGGAGACCGCTTAGCTGAAAAGAGTCTTCTCTTAGAACATCCATTCCCTCTCTTCCTTTCTCCATAATGGCAGGAAAAGTTAGACATGCTGTGTCACTGAGATATCTAGCAGTAGAGGGAACAGAGCATAAGTTGAAGCTGAGCACAGAAAAGAGGGTGGAAACACACAGAGGGGGGTTTGCACATACTCTGATGAGATGTGGTAGATTTGAATAATTTCACACAATACTCCATAGCATCCAGAGGCATGCAAAGGTATTTTTAATGGAATTTTCTAAATCAGCTCCACAGGATTAACACTTACCTAGTTATTTATACTGAAATGCAGTTTTTACTTTATTACTAAGATATCTTACATATCACCTTTCCTCTATCAAGTTCTTGAGATAACAATGTATTCTGGTTTAAGATCTCTTGGAATGGAATTACATTGACTGTTGAAACTTGTAGGGAGGGTTACTTGCAGGATATAAGCACGGTCTGTTTGCCATACAGAACCTGGGGAAATAAGTTCTTGAGCTTCCTTTACTACCCCTATGAAAGTGTTAGCGAGACCATCAGTGGCCATGTAAGTCACTTACCTGATAGTCCATATGTGTTCTTGCTAGTTTTCTATCAGTATTGCTAAACCAAAGACTGTCACTAAGGTATAATACACAGGCAGTCATCTATAGCAGCAGAATTCAAGAAAAAAAAAAAAGAATGGATTTTGTTTATGTATACGTGTGATTTCTGCAGACATGATGAAGAAGAATGAGGTGCTTATTCGTTGAAAGCAGCAAAACCTTGCATTGGGTATATTAATTGATCATTGCCAAAGCTGTGATATTTATAACAGAGAAAGTATACTAATAGTAGCTATACTTTTTCTTTCAGCTCCATTCTCTTTCTGTTTTGTTCAGTTGCATTTTTTGAAAACATTGTTTTCTTCTTTGCACTTTGTTCTCCTCAACAAAACATTGACATCTTGTCAAAGCCACAGAACATTCTGAATGAAATGTTATCAGTGACACTGGGTATCTTTGGAGAAGCTAATGAAAGACAGAGTTTGGTTTCCCCAGGCAAAGTCTTGGGCATCCTTTTCTGTCAGTCTTAGTGGAAAAGTGAAAATGATCAGGCCCAAACTTCTCTGGCAATATCATGTATCCAGCAGCAGGTTTATTTTGCTAACAATTAGTATCTCTGTCAATTAGACTGTGTTGTAATGCTGAAAATGTAACATCAACCCTGTTGAGAAGTTAGTACAGCTATCTATAGGAAAACATTTTTATCTTTGTCTTTTGCATAACAAATCCCTGGAAATAGGGTGGTGTGTTTTAATTATCTTTTTTAAGCATCTGCTTAAAGAACATTTAGTTTACTAAATCAAGTACTGAAACATACGGAAATGTTCCAGATTTCTGATGTCTTGTGCAGACCAATTTGGCTCTCTTATGTATATTTATCATGATAATTGTTCCCTGAAGAGTGATTGTTTTGTACCACAGGACTTGTGTATCCAATATGCAAAACATTTTAGCTTTCTTGTTTTTTTTCTCCAGGTACTTGATTTCTTAGACTATGAAACATTACATTTGGTTAGTGTGGTATGTTATGTGCAGATGCAGAGCTTGATGAAAGAGCTTTGCATCTTAAACCCTCTTCCTCTCACCACAGAGAGGTGCAGATATATCACAGAAATTTGTTCATCCATTATTTCCTGTCCTTGAGTGGTGGAAGGTGGTGATACAAGCTGTTTTGGTGTCTATCTGCAGAGTGGTTTTTCAAGCAAAGTCCTGAGGAAGTAAAGATAACCACACATGACAAAAAAAAAGGAAGGCTTAAGCTTGTCTACTTGGGCAGAACTACTTCTAGACTGATGAGAGCAAAAGAACATAGCTTTTCATGAAATGGCTTAGGTTGGAAGGGACCCTAGAGATCATCTGATCCAACCTCCCTGCCATGGGCAGGGACACCTCTCATCTAGACTGGGTTTCTCATGGCCTCATCCATCTTGGCCTTGAACACCTCCAGGGAGGGGACATCCACAACCTCTCTGGGCAATCTAGTCCAAACTGTCGCCACCCTCCTACTGAAGAACTTATCAGTATCACTGGTTCTAAGTAATTCATAGGAATATGTATTGCTAAAAAGATACTAACTGTAGAAAAGTTCAATTAAAATTTTGACGAGATGGGTGCAGAACTTAATTATTTTGTTAAAGACTTAAATAATCTGGTTGTCAACAATCCCATTCCAATCTATATTATGATACCTCTCGAATACCCAAATATCCACCAAAGATTTCCATTCTGAGTATTTAATTTGCTTTGTCTAGGGTGGGCATGACTAAAATACTATTTTATGATGAGTACATATAGCTCATCAATAGGGCTAATGGTCAGAGTCTGTTCCTTCATTTAAGCAGGCCTTATTTTCTCATGAAAGGAATGCTTAGCTCTGAAGGCTATTTGCATTCTGATGGCAGGTTTTTGTACAAAATCTCCCTTTTAAGATCCTTGGTCTATTAACCTTTGCTTTTATTTCATTTTGAGGATGGACTTCTAGTTGTCAGAGCAAGGAAAGGTAGAAAGGGTGGTCAAGAGAGTGACCACAAAGCACTCTCTTTTGTATGTATATATAAATGGTGAACTATAGCCAAATTACTTTGTGATAAGATTATGCTTCATTTGGTCTCTTTTCTCCTTCCTTCTGATGTGCTTATATAAGCCTTGAGGATATTAAATATATTTTGAACCTTCAGTTCATAACGCAAGAGAAAGATTAGACATTTTCTCCAAGAGTGGTGGCTTGGAGCAATAAAGAGAGTCTCTATATAAATAAAAGTCCATAAGAAATTTCTTTGATAGACGACTCTTGACAACACAGAAGACCTTTGTATGCACTATCTGAAGCAAGGAAAGAATTTCTGTCTCACAGATGAGTGCACTCAAAAGAACTGTACCAAAATAGGGTGCTGCTTTTTTTTGATGAGTAGAAAGTTCTTCTTTGGCTTACAGAATTATATGATGCTGGCCTTCAGTAAAAGCTATGTAATAGATTGCTTTGAATCACTTTTTTTTTTCCAAGAATGCTCATCAGTAGTGGAAGATAGCACACTTCTTTTTTCGATACTGAGTCCTGACCTAAACTGGATTGTGCCCTCTAGTTCTGAAGAGTGCTTCATATTCATTTGCTCCTTTCAGAGTAAAGGGAAAAAAAATAAATCAACAGACTCAGCTTAAGACTTACAAAGACTGAGAGTGTAAGTAACGCCAAGACTGGCAGCTCCACTATGCAGGGCACTAGCCTGGAACTCTTCAGGAGAGAATTATCTTGTGCATATATTGAATATGTGTTCTTAGTGGTGCATACCATTTTTTTAGTGTGTATTTCCTTTGCTTAGTCAAAATATTGTCAGACAGATTTACAGTGGAGGAGGAGAACGAGGACAGATGATAGAAAATATGACTGAAGAAAAACAGAATTAAATGGTACAAGATGTGGAATGATTTCAATGAATAGTTTTCACCTGCAAAGAATTCAAATGCAGTTTGATTATACAAAAGAGCAAATGCATTAAAACAGGAAATGTTACAAGAATTTCCTTCTATTTCCAGTGATGAACCATAGTACAATAACTTCCTTAAACCTACAAATCCTTAATTTCAGATTATATTAGCAGATGTGCTCCTTAGTATGACTGAGTTAAGTTTATTTTAACATGGCTGATGTCTACAGCTTTTTTCCAGGAGACAGCCTTAATGACTAATTAGCATTTGTGTGTGTAGAATAGACATCAAACAGCTGAGGAGTGAGATATGATTCTGCTTTTGGATGAGATTTATAAAGCTGTTTAAAAGACCATTGTTGCTATCAGTGTTACTTAGAAGAAGGAGTTGAGAGTGAGTTCTTGTTCAACTGAAACTACTACTAAAATGCTGCCAGGCAGAATGTAATTTTACAAGTAAGATTAAGGCCACTTTAAGAGTCATAATGATGCTCTCTAGAGATCTGTGACTGTATTTTTAAACAGGAAAGTAAAATTGCTTATGTTTCTTCTATTTAAATGCCTCACTTCAGACTGATAAAGTGGTGGCTCTATAGCATTTCTGACAATAACACTACTGAACACTTTTTTCCCAGAATTTTTTATGGAGTCAAAACCATTAAAAAAGATAATTAAGAATAGACAAGTAAAATGGAAGAAGGAACAGTAGAAATATCGTGCTTTTGACATCACATTTACCTTCTTCTAAAGCCTTTTAAAGGGCTTCTTTGCTTTCTCTGTCTTCAACCCAAAATGAAAATATTTAAATCCAATATAAAGCCAGTCATTTTCTTCCTATGATCTTTTTTCTCCTTTTCCAGTCTTCTTTCCTCCCATTCCCCATTCTCCCTGTCTCTTCTTTAAATATCTCAGGTGGAAGCATTTCATGATGACTGAACTAGTAATGTTACTCTTAAAGTTGCCTGTGTGCTTCTTGGAAAGTTTGACCAGGATGGAGAGGACAAGATGAATTTCCTTTGAAGTATCTTTTGGTACTTTCAACTCTGGTGGTCCTTCAAAAGGGAAGCTTCTGTTTCACTTCCGACGCTTGCCTTCAACAGGTAGTCAGGGAACTTCCAGTTGAAAATTTAAACTAAAAGCTGAATTATGATCTTGGTGTGTCCACTTTCAAATCTGCAGAGTTCGGAACACAGCAAATAGAATGGCAAGTGACTGATCTGCTTGCTCTTCCTAAGGATCCCTCCGAAGCTCAGTGAATCATGTGGCAGTAAGAAGTTTTGGCAGCCGTGATCCAGGGAACTGTTCCTGTTCCTTTCTATGAATGAAAATAGGCTTATATTTGCAAATGAATGCCAAAAATAGTATGTTGGGAAAGAACATGATTGCAGAAGTGTAAAGACACTCCCTTTTTACAAGGATTCATATGGAAAAGACAAGGCGTAATGAGTACAAGTTACTCATAGGGAGATTTCAGTTGGATACAAATGGAAAATTTTTCACAATGAGAACAATCATTTATTTAAATAATCTCACCAAGGAAGTGGTGGCTTCCCCAGCATTGGACACTTTTAAGATTCAGCTGAACAGGTGCTGGACCATCTTGTCTGAACTGTGCTTTTACCAAGAAAGGTTGGACCAGATGATCCTTGAGGTCACTTCAGACCTGGTATTCTATTAATTATGTAGCAGATTTGGGCAGAGAAAGGCTGGCACAAATCAAATATATTGCCAAACTCAGTACAGTTTCACATAAGTCTTAGTAAGGTGAATATAGACAGGAAGGAAGATAGCTGATATTAATTTTATGTGTGATATGTGGTATTATAAATCTCATCTGTGAGATGCAAGGAGTTAATTCTACTTCTATTCTAAGTCTTATGTCTGATTAGTTTAAATAACTTTGAATTAGTGGAATGATGCTCTATCAGGTCTTCTGTCAAGAGGTTTTAATGAGTATCGAGTCAGCTGATTAAGGCAGAATAATTCTATAGTAAACATGGAAGCTTCAGATGTCAAGTTAAGAAAGTGAAAGCTATTCCAGTAAAATAAGCAATATCAGCTGAGAGTTCAAAGGAAAGCATGGTTTCAGAAGAGTAAGCAGCTTCATTAAACTCTATTAATGATCCCTGTAGACAAATTTTGCATTTAAATTAGTGCCTTGCTTCTAGAGAAAGCAGTATTACTGAGCTTCAACCAATGATGCAAAGCGATTTACATGGGCTGAACATCTGTGATTCCCTGACTACTGACCCCCCTAAACAAGATTTTTGTTTTACAGTTACATTACTTGTGGATTCAATAGTTCACTTTTTCTCCCCCCGCCTCCCTCTGCTGAAAGACAGCTGTTTGAATTAAATTATTTCTTTATCCTTGCAGGATCTTCATTCTGGTGCCTACTGGATATTGTTCCTATAAAGAATGAAAAAGGAGATGTAGTACTCTTTCTGGCCTCTTTCAAAGATATAACAGACACAAAAGTGAAGATTGCTGCAGAAGACAAAAAGGAAGGTTTGTGAATTGCAACAACATTGATAAGATCCAACACTGATAAGTTTTTGAGACTTCTACCTAGATTGAGTCTCTCTCATGTACTTTTCATTATAAAGACCTCCTACCTCTCCAAATAAGACATTAACATATGACATGGAAGAACAAATAATCTATTGAAGTTCTTATTTGGTTTTTTGTTTGTTTGCTTGTTGGTTTTTGCTTTTTCTTTTTAAATTTACATATTGCTCCACATTCTGTAAATATGGAATCCAGACTATAGAGTTCTTTATCCTCAAAATTAAATTTTATTTAATATACTATGATTTACTTTATTTGCTTTCTGGATTTTACAAGATACATTTTGGAAAAGCTAGACTTTTTCAAACATGCCTTCTGTGAATCTGATTTCAGCATGCCTGAGAGATGAATGAATGCATATTTTCATGGGTTTTTTTTGTGAGCAGAACATACAATTTTAGAAATTATTTTACCTATTGAGAAGCATGTCTGTTCTTGTTCCATCTAATTCACATTGCATTATATGAAATTGTAAGATTTATTATGTCTTTAGGAATATCCAATAGTATATGCGTCATGTTCTTACTTTATTTGTTTCTGTAAGGAAACAATGCAAGGACTCTCTCATGACTTTAGAAAAAGATTCTGTTATGCTAATGATTCAAAGCTGCCATAAAATAATTTTGACTGTCTGTTGTAGTCAAGTTTTGCTAAATTCTTCTAACACACTGCAAAGACAGTAAAAGGGATGGAGGCTATGCAGTCAGCATTGACCCGTGCTGTGTATCAAACGCAGTGAATTTATTCTAGTTTTACATTTTCCAGAGGTAGAGTGAACCAAATCTTTAGGTTTGCAGCTTTTCAGTGTCAAAGGAATTGTCTAGAAAAAGTTTATCTGTAGACAGAAAGAGTAACTTTCAGAATTCTGTAAAATTTCATTACTGTTGAATTGTCCAGTCTGGTACTATTCTGCAATTTATTTAAATTTCTCACCCTGTGATAGCCATTTGATCCCTGCATATTTCAGAAACAACATAGATATTGCCCCTTTTCTCTTTATGGGTTTCTGAAGTGGGGGAACAATTAATATTCAGCTTTTTTTCTGATTTTAATTATTAGCTTTTCCATAAAATAGTTATACTTCAGTTACAGAGAAGTGTAATTCAGTATTCTTTTACATTCTAGTACTTTAACATAAAGAATATTACACTTCCCTGTGCTGCTGAATATTTCTAAGTCAACATTTATGCTAATGATGTGTCTCTTCTGTACATTTGGACAACTAATTTCACCTCTGTCTTACTTTTTAAGCCCTGAATAATCGAAGGTTTCTTTTCTGCATTCTTCTCCTTTTACACAAAACATATTTGAAACTTTCAAACATGTGGGGCCATGTTGAAGAGAGTTTGTCAGTACATCTGTTCTCTAAAGGCTAATGATTTACCTTATGAGAGATATAAATTTTCAGGACACACTCAGTGAGAAATCACACAATATGCCAGTGATGACTTGAAATAGATATATAACTGATTACTTATAAAATGGCAGGTATTGTTTACCTGATAAAGATTTTATAATTGTATGCTTATTTGAGGATGGTTTAAAACAATCTTCAGCTTTTGATATGGGTTCATGTCAAACTGTGAATCTAAGCAGATTTTAACTCATGTTTTCTGTTGTACATTTAAAAATTATTTCTCCTCCTACTCTGTACTGATCCAGGAATGCACTGATGCAGAGCTACATTACACCAGGAAATGCTCTTTCAATTGCTATAAGGTTATGAATATTGACATTTAGCTATCTTTTGCAATATACACTTTAAAGCACAATCTTGAAACCTAGTTGTTCTTTTCCTTTATACTAATTTTAAAGCTATGGCAATCACTTTATGCTATGATGATAGTTGTTTGCATCACAGCAACAGAAAGTAACACTTAGTGTGAGGTTTTGCCAAATACAGTATTTTATATAACGTAGTGAGGTAAGATACAGGATTTAACCATTTGTTCAAAATATTTACAAACAATTCCAATATTTTAATTTTATATAAATCTTACTGGTTATATAAAACTAAATTTAATGGGAGGTCTTTGAGTAGCATTCAAATTCTTCCTATGCAGAGTGATTCACTAGTCCTCAAGTGGTGAACATCACCCCATCATAGTCAGAAAAGAATTCCCATTACAATCTATGCAACTGATTCTGTATTTGAAATTTCAGAATGTTTAACTTCCAGAAGTAATTGGTTCTTCTTTACTAAGACCACAATTACTATCAGGCTTGTAGGATGCACATTGTATTAACAAAAATATTCAGTTTGTGGATTTTTTAAAGTTATTAAAGATACTTTTTAATCTTCAGTGATTAACATCCATAGCAGTGATTGATGCACATTGCTGGATATTATTTTCACAGTAAATGTTCCTAAAAAGACCATTTTATATTTTCAAAGATTACTGAATTTGTCCTTTCAGAAATCAGATAACTTGTAAACTTCGAGTTCAAATTCAGCTCCTGCTATAATATAATTGCCATTGCACAGTTTTCCGTTGCCTTTGTGGTACGTCTTGAGGTTAGTTTGTGTATGGAAAGGAGGATGTAGGTACAAACTTGCTCAGTGTGGGACTCCTCTGCCCATGCAAGGCTGTTGTGTTAATGTTTTTGTTTCACCCTATCTCATCTCTGTTCTGCCTGGAACAGACTTTTGTAATTTGTATGAAACATTAATAACCACATTCCATCTCCCTTTAATGTTTAAACTCCTTAGAAATTTTATCTAACAAAATTAATTTGTGTTCCTTTTCTCCTAAATCTGCCCTGGACCCTTTGGCTTTCCACTAACCCTGTATGGTAACAAACTCCCGCTGGCTGCGCCTCCAAAATTCTCCAGACTCCTTCTTCATGTCTTTCCTAACTTGGATACTGTTTCTTCTGTAAAATCTTGTTCCCCTTGTACTTTCATAATGACACCTTCCTGAGCTTTATCTCCTGATTTAATGGTCTCTCTTTTCTTATATATTATCTTTTTACTTTTGCAGACCTCAAGAGTTGATACCCTCTTGGATATTCTGCAGACATTTTTTTATCCATTTTATCTCATCTATTCACACAACTTCAGTTACCTCTTTTTGCCAATGTGCCTTGCAAAAGTCCACATTTTTGCCTGGTTTCCTTTTATCCACCCCAAATGTTAGATGTCTTCTGTGATCTTTTCTTTTGAATGTCTCATTCTAAATACAAAGTTAATAGAATGTTTTTCTTCTAAAAAAATTTCCATTTTCTTCTATAAAAATTTCCAGTGAAAACAGCCCTATCAGCGAACAGGAAGAGCAGGTTTTCTCCTAAGACTTTCATATAAGAAAAAGGCAAAAAACCATGATGAGAATTTGGGCAGCCTTTAAGAAGTGCTGCGAAGTCAGCAACTCTCATATCACTTCTTTTGTGTGGTTTGCTATAGGTTTTTTTAAGCTAATTTACCATTCTCTTCCGTCACTCCCGCATCCCCTTTAATTGCAATTAAGTCCAAAATTGGACTACACCCTTTCCCACCATGGATTAAATTAAGTCACAGCACTATGGTTTAACTGGCTAGCTTTTTCTGGCTCTTTTTAATCCTTAAATCTATACAAATTTCTAAGAAAACAGATTTATCTTCATTATGTGTAATTTTTTTGGAGGGAGAGGTGGTTCTTTTCATTGTGCCATGTGCCATACATTTTGCATTCCAGACTTTTATGTAGGAAATGTCTGTTGGAGGCAGGGATGGACTCTTCTAAGGAATTCTGCAATGTGCACTTTTATTTATTCTGCTTAATTACTGTCTCAGCTATTTTGTTGTTGCCCTAGCTACAGCAGTGAATACTCAGGGCACAACTTTTAATTTTAAAACTCCTTACTCCTGTCAGGAGGCAGGATATTGAGAAGGAGACTGTAGTCACCTAGACGTACAGTATTCAGAGCAGATGAAACTGTTTCAGGGTGCATGGGGCACTATACAGTTATGTTAGTGGAGGAGGTGGAATAGATGCACAGTTTTAGCCCAGCTTTCCTACTGTCCAAAGGAAGAATGTGTTGGGAAAATCTTTATTCTACAGTAACTCAGTTGTATCTTCTCTAGGATGACTTTGCTCCTGGCTGACCCTCAAAATAGGAAGGATCTGCATCTCTTCTGCCCTCAATAAGGAGAAACTGCTTTCCTCCTGCTCAGTGAATGAGAGTGTAAACACTTAGAGGACAAAAATAGAGCTACCCCTGTTTCTGCAGATACATGTGAGCACAGAGATACTCTCCCTCTGCCCTTTTTCCCCTTCTTAGGCAAGCAAATAAGTTGTATTTGAGCCTTGAACCTTTAGTGATCTATCAATCTTTATGGCCATTGCTTTAGCTTTTTACCAAGTGTTAAATGCAAGTGACAGTTCCTTTCCAGCAACTCTCAGAGAGGCACAGGGCATGTTCTGTGTCCTTGGTAGTATGTGTGGAATGACAATGATAAAAAGAAAAGTAAATTCCGATTCTTGAGCAAATGCAGAGGAGTAGACTATATTCTGGGATATTGTGGAAGGGTGAGAGAACATATGCATTAGCAATCAGGTAGTTTTTTGATTCACCTGTTTCTAGAGAAACTCTTGCAATCTTCTCAAGATTTTCCTTAGAAACCAAATAATCAAGTGGGAGGGGGAAAATAATTTGTTTGTGGTGTTTTTATTGGTTGGTTGGTTTTATCTTTCATTTCAGTGTTCGCTGATTCAACCATGTAAGACTGACAACAGAAAGCATGGAAGAAATGGGGAATATGTTTAGCACGTGTATTGTCAATTAAAAGAGCACCTTCCGTTTGTGTGTGTGGTAGTGTTTTTTGAGGGTTTTTTTGAGGGTCAGAGAGAGGGTTTTTTGAGGAGGGAGAGAATTTACAAACCTTCTTTCTATGGAAAAAAAAAAAAAAGAAAACAAACAAAATAACTCTTTAAAGACTTTCATAGGTGTAGGCACAACCTGGT